CCCAGGGCAGCTGTGGCTACAACTGTAGCTGCCTCCACCAGTGTGTGGATGGGTGGATGACTGGAAAACGCTGTTATTCTAATTCTAACATGGAGTTTACCGCCCTCGTGTGAGCTCAGACCCTCTCAGCCACAGCACAGGTCTAATTACACAGAATAATTGAGAACTGAGGGTTTACACAGCTTTTAATTGATATTAAACATGTTTTGGAAGCTTATGGGGTCACGGGAACTAATGAAAACTAATGAAAACCGCTTGACACGTGACTTTTTAAGCGATTGAGCACTTTAAACTTTCCTGTTAGAAGTCCTGGATATTCATTGAACCTGAATAGTCGTCTGAACCAAGTGCCAGCGGCCGTTTGGCTGGCCTGCCTTAAAGCTCTGTCCCATGTTTTTAGCTCGGGGATCCTTTCGTTTCCACCTCGACGTTTGGCAGCCACTGAAAAGGGACGCCAGAATAACACCAGTGTGCTGAGTGCAGATTAGTGTTCAAACGTGAACACTGGGCGAAGCTGTCAACCATAAAAATACGAAACACAGGTGCTTCCTTAAAAAGCTCCAGTTTTAGGCACATTTGACATTTCATCTGGTTTCAGCTCATTTTACACACTGAATGCAGCAAAGACGATGACTCTCCTCTCTTGCTGGTGTAACTTTTCTCTTCGTGCTGGAAGTGCAGACTGGAGGCCACGTCGTGCCCAGTTTTACTTCATACTTTGACATCGTTTGAACAGAGCATGGTCACCTTTTTGATTTAAGTCATGTCAGTTGTTTCTTCACGTTCTGTTGATAACTTGAGTCCATGAGGGCTTTAAATGATCTTTCTAATAAGCACGTTTAAACCATGGAGGGAGATGAATCTGCTGTCGATCATCTGTACTCCACTCCATGCTTCAAACGTATACATTTAAATGTAAAAACAGAAATTATCAGTAAAGCATTTATTGGGCATTTCATAGTGCCTAAACATCCCCTCACGGTACTGTAGGCTTTTAATGTTTCTGCCATACTTTGAGCTTTGACTCGTACTCACACGGGGAA